CCTCATAATGTTGTCTAGACTGACGTGTCAAATTAAATCTGTTGATAGATAGCCATGTGCCGAACCTCACTTCTCTACACCTTTTTTGTGAAAATCCTTCATTAAATTTTTGCCCCGCAGAGATGCTACGTGAAGAAAAATTAGACCCCCTCCTGACTTTGCGCTATTCAATAGCGCAAAATCGGTAGGGGTCAAGAAATTCAAAGTCGTATAAAGCTCGTCGTCATAGGTTTTCGGACAAGCGGTTTTTCTGGTTCTCCTCCCCGTCCCCACTCTCCCTCGCTTTGTCACTCGTCCCATATGTTCCACCCGTCCAAAATGGCGACCGAATATTCGCTGCGCTAAATCTCGTGCTTGAAAACACAAACTACTGCCGGCAAGTAGGCTACCTGAATCTCTCCCGTCTTTCGTCCTTCTTCCTCCTCCGTCTTGCTATTCAGGCGAGTTAATCACCATCATTTCAAACTGTTTTGTGGTTTTGTTTTGTCTTTGGTTTAAATTTTGCTTTCCATTTTTTCTCTTTAGGTATGCTGATATATGTAATAAGTTTTAAACCATGTAAACCGAGGGAAATTAAAAATTGAAACACTGATAAAATTGAACCACCACATCCTGACAGTCTCGTGACGATAGCTACAAAAGTTATGCAAATTAGGGGTAATTTTCTTTCTACACAAAGAAGCGCCACTTGAGCGAAACACTTCTACCAGACACAACAACTGAATAAAATTGAAAGGAAAAAAAAATTTGCAAAATATACATGTATAGACCAATGTAGATTTTGAAATTAAAATCTCGTTGACGGCACACTCTTGCTTGGCCGTGGGAAGATTGTATAACTCAACATCACAACTTTTCACATTTGAATAAAACATATCACACCGCCTTTTTTTTTTTTTTTTGACTTTTCTTATCTACATTTCTGCCACTTTCCACCAACCCTCTATTTATCTTACTCACAGAAACTCCTTCTCTTAGGTTCGAGAATCCGCCGGTTGGCGCCAATCAAGGACATTCTTAACTCGCTAAACTTTCACACCCTTCCCGGTTGCACAGCAAAATTTTTTGTTGTAAACATTTGTCACTTTGCACTCAGTTTCACCCAAACCGAAAATGTTGTTCTATTATCATTTTGAGTTTAGCAGCAACAGTGATCATGGCAATTACTTCACGAATAGAGATTAAGTGGAAAATATTCAACAACATGATTAATATTTGGAAGCCATAATCGCCTACGAAATGAATCAGTAACGTTAATGCTCTGTTAAACCCGTTACTTGCCTAAGTGTCAATGGTTTTCAGTCCAACTTTAAATATTAAATCGAATTAGAAACAGCGGGTGATTATTAAAATGTTCAACGGTACCTTGTATTGAGTGTTTCCACTATTTCCCTGTTTAAGCGTCTTTTGAATATATGACAGTGAGCGGTTAGGGGCCGACCATTTAACTTTTGAGGGGGAGGGGGGTGGGTGATTTCTGGTCATCAAGAAATTTTTTTTCTAGCAATCTGCTGGGCAGGATATTTTTTTCCGCTCTAAACGCTTTTTTTTTCCTGTTACATTTGGGCTGTATGCAATTTTTTTCTTCCAAAAAGCGCTTGCAGGAAATTTTTTTTCAAAATCACCCCCCCCCCTCCCTCAAGAGTTAAATGGTCGGCCCCTTAGACAATATGGGCCGGTTGTTTGCAGGAGTTCTACTCAAACCGCGGATTTACACACTCAGTGGGCCTCAGGCTATCTCTATGAGAGGTTTAATTTGATTAAATAAATGTCCTTCCGATGTCAGCTTTCGGTCCATGCCTGTTCATATGAATAACTGTTTTGCTAAACAACGACTAAACTTTGTTTAAATAATCACACCTACAATTTTGCTCACTGAAAGACGAATTCCGTCACATGACAACCACATTTTGGGTTTTCCATATTTATACGGTATGGACAAGAGAAAATAGTGGCTCTCTTGTCTTTTCTCTTGCTATGAATCATTTCACTATATGCTCTTTGATATGTGAGTTTGAGCAGTGCCTAATGTTAGTCGCTGTTCCATTTGTTTTATTCCATCACGAACTACATCACTTCTGGACGGTTTGCATACTCTGCACATTTTTCCACGATGCGATAGTTTTGAGGTTTTTTACTGACCTTCTTCGACTCGAACAAATTTCTTTCCGCGGCCTAATCATAAACCGAAGCACAAAACGCCGGCCTGAGAAAATAAACACGTTAAGGTTCGAGGAAAGTAGGCAAGAGTTGGCTTTATGTTGGTTGATTTTTCTTTTACTTGTGACGGTCGTTTCGAACCGTAAGGCCCTTTAATTTGGACACCAACAAAAAGGCGGTCCAAAATCTGTCCAAACATATTTACCAAACACTAAAAAAAACAACTAGACTGACAAATCTAGTTGAACTTTTTGTGTTTGTTCTATCATTTCAAGAATAAAATTTCCTCATTGCTCGTTGTTCATAGATAAAGGATTTCATCACGTCTAAATTGACGCTAGACTATACAAACTACAACCTGCGTTTATTTCGATCAAAAGAGGTCGCCTTCTTCACGGCGAGAAAGTCCTAATCGATGCCAGAAGGACTCGCACAAATGTTTAACCAAGTACTCCGTGTTAATCATCCTGTTTATAAATTAACAGACTGATAAGGCTGAATTTCACAAAATTGAGTTGGCTGAGGTTTTTAAGACTACCTGGTCCTGTTTATCGTGTTCTACAAGGTAATCAAGCAGAACCCACGTGGAAGCCACAAAACGCAGATACGTGATTCAATTTGATGATAAACTACCCTGGCGAGAGATCTAGATGCCAGCATGTCCATGCGCTGCGCTTGAGGTCACATAGTGCAACAAAAAGAATTAAACCACTCAATATGGCACAGAATTCTCGATAACTGAAGGAAAAATACTTTTAAGCTCCTTGGAAAAGCATAAAGCCATTTAATTAGATGAAACTATTGAGCAAGCGATTCAGCTGACTGAAGAACTTAAAAACTGAAGTTAACTGAAGTTAATTTGAGTTAAAATGTCTAAGAACACAAGAACATTGAACCAGAAAAGACAACTGCGTGCACGGCTTCAGTTTGACCAACATCTGGCCAGCTGAGAATTAATGATAGCGATCATGAAGTTTAGAAACAATCGAGCCAGTAGTTTCCTCGTGGGGAGCAAGGTGTGTAGACAAAATCGTTGTTTCTTATTTGTCGACTTAAACGGTAGATCATAGATTTAGTTCATTGTAATTTTTTACGACCGATCGTTTTGGAAACGAATTCTGACGTTCTATAGGGTTAGAGCTAGACCTCCCTCAATTTGTTAATGAATGTAAATTTGTGAAAAAAAAAAACTCAAAATAATAAACGACGTTTTCAAGTAATGAATACTTCCGCTTTAATTTCGAAAAGCGCCGGAGAGCCGAAAATTCCAAAAAGGAGACCCTGCCTTGAAGAGAGACCACCCACGAGACAAACAACAGTACGAATTACGTTTTGTTTAAAGAATTTTAAGGTTTCAAAGTCTGTGAGGGCTCACATTGTGCCGCTAGTAATGCTAAATATGCTTCAATGACTTCTTCACGCTCAGAACGCCCTTAGACAAGGACAGCTGTGTCAGAAAGTGTGGAGGATACCGAGTTGGACAATTTTTCCTACAAACTTTCCTTTGTGAAGGTGTAGTCTGATCGTCCGGGTGAGTGTAGTCCTGAGAAGCACTGTTGTCGGTGGTAGTGACTGACGTTTCGACAACCTGTGCGGAAGTCATCATCAGAGTCAAGTGAATGATTGTTGTCAGTAGAATGTTCTTATTCCAGTTCGTGTGAAATGATCGGTTGGTTTTGCCGTGGTGTTATTGGCTGTAAGACTCAAGTGACGTAAGTCGGTCGTGATTGGTCTGTTTCGATCTGTCGGTAAAGTTAGGTCGTTCTTTTTCGGTCGTTTGTGATGTTTATGTCGTGAATGAGTCGTTTGTATGGAGCGGGTAGTTGTTGACATCTGTTTAGGGGAGTCTGTTCTAAGTTAGTAAACCAGCTTTCCAGAGTCAGTCGTTGAAAATAGTCAGTGCTGCAGGCTAGGCATTGCGCAGAGTCCCAGTCAATGTTGTGGTTGGTAAGTCGATGGTGTTCAGCAATGTGATTGCTGACATCACCTTTCCTCGTCGCCCGTCTGTGTTCAGTCAGTCTTGTTGTGAGGTTTCTGCCAGTCTCACCGATGTAGGAGGCTTGGCAGTCGGAACAATTGATCTTATAAATCGTTCCCTGTCTGTTCCTCGGTTCGTCTTTGTCTTTAACGTTGGTTAGTAACTGACGTAGTGTGGTGATGGGTTTGTGGGCGACGCGGATATTGAAGGGTAGTAAGATGCGCGAGATGTTTTCAGACATGCCTTTTATGTACGGTATGGTTGCTGTAGTCGTAGGGGTTGCGGTGTCGTTTGTTTCGGTAGTGGTAGTGGGTCGGTGAGTGTTTCGTCGGATGAAGTCGTTGTTGTAGTTGTTCTTCGTAAAAACACGGTGAAGGTATTTGTTCTCGTCGGATAAGCTGTCTGTCGAGTC